TTTGTTACACATGACACAATGTTAATGGGACAAATATTGCATTTTTTTTGCACCTCCTAAAAAGGTGTAACATGGTCTCACTCTCCATCTCTCATCTTCATCATGAAGACAATATAGGTCGTACTGCATTTAATGTGCATTGGATTGACACAAAAAAAAAAGTTTGTTTAAACCCATAAAGAATTAGATGTACCTTTGAATGTTGCCATATATTTGAATACCCATTCAACTTTGAGACCTTGCCATTTAAAGATCTTGACGAAAGATGAACCTCTTTGGCAACTGTTGCGATTTCTCGAGATATATCTAATGCACTAGTCCCATTCCCAATCACTACCACCACCTGTTATTGTGTCGAAAATCTTGATACACTTTTATTTATTAGTTAATTAAAAAGTGAAACAAAAATATGAGAAAGATGTATATAAACTTGATCTTGATATGGTTCAGGAACACGATAATTGTGACTATGAGTTTGTTTTCGTGACCATTCCTCGATACCTGCCTCGATTTGCAAAATAAAATTTAGCTATACATTTTTATGGAATAATAGTTTAAATCTTACGAAATATAGTTTATGATTGCTAAATTCAGTTTTTTGAGAATTTACAAAGGATGATCTTAATAAACTCCTTGTCACTTCTATCACAACCATAATTTTTCTTGAAATGTAATTATTGAACTAAAAAACATAGTTTTTCTTGAAATGTAATTATTAAAATAGAAAACTATAGGGGCTAAATCTGTATTGATTGAAATTTAACATTACAGCAACCAAAACAGTAATTATTAATCTATGAGACCCAATATGCAACTATTCCATTATAGCAGGGCCATTTCTGTAATTACGAGATATGTTAGCATCAATCATAGTATATACTAGGGGTGAGCAAAAACCGAACCGCAATTAAAAAAAACCGAAAAAACCGCAAAAACCGAAACCGATTAACCGAAAGCGAAACGATAACCGATGGTGAGGTTTTCAATTTTATCAAAACCGAAATTTTGCGGTGCGGTGCGGTTATTGTTTTTTTAAAAACCGCAAATAACCGAACCGCACCGAATAGATTAACCGAACCGCTAAACCTAACCGAACCGCACCGAATAGATTAACCGAACCGCTAAACCTAACCGAACCGCTAACCGAACCACTAATTTACAAATTTTAATAATTATATAATGTTATTATTTGATTTATTAATATTAATAATCCTAATTAAAAAACAAGGTTATGTTG